TATTCTCACACCCAATACCCCCCCACATCCCCTTATCCCACCCCATCACACTCAAAATCCTCAATCAATGACAAACTCCACCCCCTTAACCCCCCTAAACACCACCACCCCCAAAACATTACAACCCCCAAACCCCCTACAAAACCCCCCAATTCTTCCAACCAACCAAAATAAATCCATCAAAATCACACTCACCCAACTAACCCACACCCCCCAACCCACTACCCTTAACATCTAAATTCCCATCACAAACCCACCCAAAACCCATCAACCCCAAAATTCCCCATCCCCTCACATATATTATCCCTACACAAAAAAAACACCTTCATTAAATCCCCCCCAACAAAATACCCTCCACACCATTACTCATTACCCAAAACACACAACCTAAAATACTCACCCAAACCCAAACTAATATCTATCCTCCAAAACCCCCCTACATACCTACACCCCTAACCTATAACCCCATCACCCCCCCCCTAAACAACACCATTAACACACACAACCCACCCTCACCCCTTCCTAACTAAACCCATCCCACCCATACCACCTACAAACCATCAATAAAACTCCCCCAAACAACAATATTCAAACCCCTCACAAAAAACCTACAATTCCCCCACCCCCACCACCAAAAACAACCCCCCTTCACCAACACCCAAACAACCCATACATACACACACCTACCCCCTTTCCACCAAACCCTCATAATCCACCCCAAACCCCTATTTCCCCCAAACAACCACTCCCCCAAACCCAATACCCAATCACAATAACCAAAATACCCCAATCTCATTCTCCCACTACCAAACAAAACCCCCAATACTAACCCCACCACCTAAAATTACATAATACCCACTTATTCAACCACACCCATACCCTACACCCCCATATACCCAAACACCAACAATACAACCCATTTCCCCAAACTCCACCCATCCCATCCCCCATAATAACCATATTAAATAACTCCCCCCACACACCACAATATACCTATTCTCTTCCACCCCACCCTACCCTTAAACCACCCCCCAACCCTAACAACAACACTCCAAACCCAACAACCTCCCACACCCACATCCCTCCCTCCCCTAACAAATAAACCCCTACAACAAAATAATAACCAACATCACAATCACTAAACCAATAAACCAAACCCAATACCATATCAAACATAATCCTTTCCACATCCCACTCAATTAAAAATCTACCAACTATATAAATAAACTTACACATAACCACAAAACTAACCCCTCAAAACCCCCACCCCCCCACTTTCTCACATAAATAATATTTTCCTTCTTTAACTATCTATCATTCTCTCTTCTTCCAATCCCCCTTCCCATTCTAACATCAAATATCCCAACACCACAAATTTAAACTCAATATTCTACCCCTAAATATCTCCCTCATCACAAACCTTTCCATTTCTACACCCCACACCCACAACTTCCCTCCACACTACATATTCATCCACCTATCTGTAATAATTTAGTCCAATCTACTTAATTCCATCTCACCTTTATTTATTGCCTTGTTCTTACCGTTCAATTCCAAAGGGCCGATGCCCCATATTCTTTCCGGTCTTTGCCAAATCCCCCCCCCCCAATAATCTTTCATTTACACTCACTATACACACTCTCTTCTCCTTCAACTATCTTATCTACACCCCACTTCCAAACTAATCATCCTCCCCCTTCCTACCTCATATCAATTACCTATATATATAAAATTCCTTCCTCCTTCTCCTTCTTCCTTTCCCATTCCTCTTCACTTCCTCATATCTCAACTCTCACAAACTCACCCTCCTCACCTATAATTGTCACAATTCTCTCCATAATAACTCATCTCACACATCTACTCTAACATAATCCACACACCCAAACACACCAAAAAACCAGATCCTACCAACCAAAATCCCCTACCAACAAATACATCCTATCCACCACCCCTCCCACTCAACTCATACTTACCAAACCACATACCAACAACCAATAACCATAAATCCACTCTACAACCCCCAAAACAATCAAATCATAAAAATCATCCTCCACATACCACCACCACCCCAAATAAACCCCCATCCCATATAACAATCATCCCACCCACACCTTACACATACAACCTACAATCAATATACCATACTCACCACCTAACCTCAACCTCAACCTAACAAATCCAAAATCCTAAAAACACCACATATTAAAAACAGATCAATCACCCCTTATCTCCCCCTACATCGCCTACTCCCCCCCCCATCTCAAATCCCCTTCTCCAACAAAACTTCTCCCATCTACCCCCCTACTCAAACCCTATACTCTTTTCACTCTTCATTTTTACTAAACCCGTGAAACCTCCCCTCTCGTCCGCATGTTATCTGTTCATCTTCGCTCAATTAATGATCATCTACTCTATTGTTTTTTTTTTTTTTCACTCCTCTTCACCTTGATATGTTTCTGAGAGCTCAGCCTCCCTATTCCTTAACCAACCCCCACCCGCCTCCCATTCCCCATTTTTCAAATATTCCTCTATATCACCTCATAACCAACTTCTTCAGTACACTAACCGCGACACCCATACCTCTCGCCTTCTCAAAAACTCCCCCAAACACAGCTCTGATACCAACCATACTCCATAATAACGTTACTGTATGCGCCCACCAGTTAATCTGTTGTTGTAACCAATTAACACCTATTTATCTCATCACATCTTCTGAAAAATGCCTAAATCAGATCATATTTGACCAACAACTCCAACCCATTTTTTCCGACCCACCACTATTGTTTACTTAGTCCACCCCCCCCCCACACCCACCCACATCTCCCATAACCAACCCACAATACCATACTCACAATCCAAAAAACACAATAATCCCCAATCCCACACCCTCACCAACCCCCCCCTACAAATCAACCCCCACCATCACCCCACTTCTACTTCCATCTTCACATTCTTTCCCATACAAAAACAACATACTCCTTCCCCCCCTAACCTCCCCTAAACACCCCTCATACCCCAATATCACTACCACCACCAACCCCCCCATACATACCCCCTTCTATATCTCCACCACTCATTCTCCATTCACCCCACCTCAAACCCCCTCTCCTCTACCTCACCACATCATTCCACCTCCATCCCACCAAATCAAACCTACCCATCTCTTCCAATCAACCATAAATCCTCATACCATCTCCTAAACACCTCTCACCAAATTACCATATAACTCCCCCCACCCCCCATTCTAATTTTATTCTAATCCCCATATAACACATTCATTTTTCTATTACCCCTCTCCACCAAATCCAAACCCTTCTCCCCCCCCCCCTTAAACCACCCTCCTCCACCCCTCCCTATACTCTCCTTCCCTATTCTCACCCCCACCATCTCACCTCCTTCCAATCCCCCCTCACACAACCCACTACCCCCAACCATCAAATCATACCCATCCAACAAATCCCCCCTTCACATACCCCCCCACACCACAAAACAATCAATACAAACCACCATATCCAATACCAAAACTTAACAAACAAAAATCCTATCCAAATCATCATCTAAAAAAATAAACAATCTAAATAATATACAAAACACAATAACCACCACCCTAATCAAAAAAACACAAACAAACACCCACCTATTAACCTTCTCTTCCAAACTTCCAAAAAAATATACTAATCCCCCCTACCCCCCCAATCTCCTTAAACTATATTTATACCCACACCCCCTAACTAATACCCCTATAACAACAAATATCACCAATTCACCCACCCCACACACCCCCACCCCCCCAACCCCCCCCCCCCCCCCCCCCCCCCCAATAACAAACCAACCCCCCCCCCTATCCCACCCCCCCCTCTCCCACTCCCCTCCACTACTCAAACTAACCCCCCCAAACCCACACAATCCACCCCAATCACCCAATAATCAACACCATCCCCCCCAAATACCAATAAATCCATAATTATAAATCTAAGAACCCCCCCCCCACCCCCCCCCCCCCCCCCATTCACTTATCCCCACTAATCCCTTATCTAAATCCTTCTCTCCCACTCAAAACACCCATCCATATCCACATAACTTTCTCCCAACCCCACCCCCAACCCCAATAATATTCCCCCTCACCCCCCACTACCACTCCCCAACATTTTCTAATAATTAATAACAACTCAACACCCATCATCCACAATCTCTTACACCCTACCCCCCAACATCCAAATACCAAAAATATCCCACCATCACACAATAATACCCCTAACCACCTCTCCAATCAAACTTATACAACACCTACCCCCCCCTCCTCCTCCACTTCATCCCCCACCTACCACCCTCCCCTCCCCTATACATAACACCTTACCCAACATCTAATACACCCCACCTCCTAATCAACCCACCCCACCAAAAATACCCCCCCTTAACACTCACAATACAAAATACAATCACACACCTCCCCAACATAATATCTTTGACAAAAAAATAAAAAAAAAAAAACAAAAAAAAATAAAAAAAAAAAAAAAAATAAAAAAAAAAAAAAAAAAATAAAAATAAAAAACAAAAAAAAAATAAAAAAAAAAAAAAAAAAAAAAAAAAAAAAAAAAAAAAAACTTCCCCCCCCCCCCTCCCCACCCAACCCATACCCCCACCCCACAACCCATCCCTCCATTCATACCCCCCCCCTAACCCCTCCAAAATATACCTCCCACCTACTACCCTTTCAACTAACCCCTCCCCCCTCATTAAACTCCACCCCACCACATAAAACAACTCCCTAAAACCTCCTAAACTACACCCCCATTTTCCCAACAACCCCTTTCCATCCAACACTTCCCTTTAATTCTCAAACACCCCCACATTTATATTACCTCCCCCCACCACCATCACACCCACTACCCCCCCCACACCTTACATCAATCATACTCCTTTCTCCTACACCTTCCCCCATCATCTTCACCCCCTCCCCACCCACCAACTTCATACCCCTCCCACATACATCTTTCAACCTATTCTAATCCTAACCCCACCACCCCACCAACTCCCTCCCCATCCCCAATACCCCTAACTTTCCAACTAAAAACTTCATACTCACACATCTCTTCCCCCCCCCACAACCCCCCACCACCACATAACCTCTCCATAAAACTAAACCCACCCCCCCCAATCAACAAACCCCCCCCCCACACCCCCCCCCCCAAATTCTTATCTCCTCCAATTAAATCTTCTTTTACTCCCTCCTCCAAAAATATCTCCCCCCCCCAAACAACCCCTCTTACTATTTTTCACCATCAAATAAAATACTCCCAAATCTCCACCCACCCCCCCCCCGCCCCACCAAATTCCCCTAAAAAACAAAACACAAACTTCTAATAATCCCCCCCCAACCCCAAACTCCACCCCATCCTCCCACATACTCACCCATCACCAAAACTATATAACTCCACCCTCTACCTAACACCAAACACCCAAACCCACCCCACACCATCTCAATAAACCCTCTAACTACACTTCAACTATAATATTCCACCCCCCCACTTCACCACCACCCCTCTCCTTACTCTCCAACCAACCATCTCTCTACCCCCTTAATTTTCCCTCCCCCTACTTTCCCCCAATCACTCCTACCTCAACATTTTATACTCCCCCACCAAATCAAATCCACAACCAATACTCATCTTTCAACCCCCCCCCTACCCATACCTCATAAAAACCCTCCCAACACACCCAATCACATTCAAAATCCCAAAAACAAACAAATCAAAAAAAAAAAAACTCCCCTCCCCCACCACACAAAACAACAACCCCCACCCCCTCCCTACAAACTACCCATTAAATCCCCCATCCAATTCATTCCTCCCCCATCAACAAAAAACCACACCTCCATACCCATATCAACCCCACCCCAAAAAAAAAAATTCCATCTAATCTCCACACCATCTACATATTTCCCTTCTTCAACCCCCACCCAAACCTTACTAACACCCCCATTACCCCCCCACACACCAACAAACCCCCCCCTACCCCCATCCACCTATATACATAACACCCACAACCACTCTACCTCCTTTCACCACCCCCTCCCCCCCCCCCTCCTACCCCACAAAACCACAAACTCCACAATTTATTCACAATATTACCCCACCACTTTAAACCAAATCATCTTACAAACACCATCCCCTACTTCCCCCAACCAAACACCCCTCACAAACACTCCACCCCCACCCCAATACCCCCCCACTAAACCCCTCTTCCCCATCAATAAACATCCCCCCCCCCCCCTCCCCCCCAAACCTCCTTCCCACCCCACACCCAAATTATTCACCCAAAACCTACCACACAATCATCAATTCCCTCCCAACACAACAATTTTCCAACACCAATTAAATCTTCCCAAAAATACAATCCACCCATCAACCATTATAAACAAATCTTACACAAAAACACCCCTCTCATCACCCCTACCCCTTAACCCCATCCAATATCCCATACACTTTCACCCACCCCCCCACCCCCCTAAACCCATATAACCAAATTACCCCTCCCCCCCCCCTACCCTCACATACCTCCTCCTACACACCCCATCAATCACCAACCCACCCCCCCACCAAAACTACATCCCCCACACCCCACCCCCCCCCCCCCCCATACTCTTCTCACCCCCACCCCCTCACTTTTTCCCCTTCCCAACCCCCCTCACCACCCCCACCCAACCACAACCAAATCACCCCAACTACATCTCATCACACTAAACCATATTCCACACTATAAATCAACACAACCAAAACCCCATCCCACCAAAAAATATTCCACAAAAACCTCTTACCATCCATTCCTTTTTCATATTCTCATACAAATACTCACCCTTCCAATCTACTCCCCATAACATCTTTTCTTCTTATATAAACCCTTAAATTTTTAATACTCAATATAACCCATCACAATCTTCTCAAAATCCCCTCCCCCCCCACCCCTCACCCCCTTCACCCCACCCCCCTCTTCCCATTATATACTATCTCATCCCATCCCCCATACAACACTCCCCAACACCAACCAACTCCCCCTCCTCCTACCCCAACACCAATCCATCCCTCCCAATAACCAAAACCAACAACTACCCCCTACACACACCTCAAACACAAAACTCAAATATCCCCATCCTCCCTACACATCATCACCCCTCTAATAAAATCCCTCCTAACACCAATCCACACCCAACATCCCCCCCCAAAACCTACCAATACACCCCCGAACAACCTAAAAACAAACCCCTCCTTCCCCTCCTCCCATCTACCCCCTCTCCTCCTTAATCCTCACCACTAAAACACCTACATTATTCCTCCCCACATCTCTTCACCTTCACATATCCTAAACCCCCACCCCCACCCCATCCACACTATCACCCCAACCCCTTTTTTACACTCCCATACACCTTATCTCATTTCTTATTCCCCACCCCCCACAATAATACAACCCCCCCATCTCTCCCATTCCCCCCCCACATCCCAACCCCCCATACCTCCCCCAATACCTTCACACCCATAACCCAAATAACCCCCCCCCCCCCACCACCCACACTTTCACCCCCCCCTCCCAAAACCAACCCCCCAACCCCAACACTTACACCCCCTCACCAAACAACTATAAAACCACTCCCTACTCTTACACTTTTCACCTATCAAAAAACCAACCTATCCCCCCCAAAAACAACCACATAACCCCACAACCACCCCTTCCCCACCTTACACTATCCCCTCATAAACCATTTAATTTACCAATCCCTAATCTTCAATCTCCCCACCACCCCCCCCCCAAATTCTTTACCTCTTCCTCATACCAACCCCCCCCTTTCCTCCCCCACAACTTCCCCCCCATCTTCCTCAACTAATACCTCCCAAAAACCCCCCCTTCCTTATCCTTCCTTCCATAACACCAACTTAAATACTCATTTCCTACCCACATTCTCCTATTCCCTTCCAATAAAATAACAACTAAATATAAAACATAAATATCACCCCTTTTACTCAATCCCTACAAAAACCCAATAAAAACCATCCCCAATCCCCCCCCCACTCCACATCCAATCCACATCTAACACAATCCCAACAAACAACCCTACCAAACACAAATCATAATATCACCTCCCCTAACAATAATTCCCCCCACTAACAACCAACCAACCAACCCTCCACCCCTCCCTCCCACCCCATTACCCCACAATCAATCCCCCCAACCCCATACACCTACCCCCTTACATCCATTCCCCTCCCTCCCCTCTAACTATCCTACACCTCCCCCCACCAACCCCTAACCCCCCCCCTACCCAACAACCCACCCTAAAACACCAAACAACACTTAATCACATCCCCCTCCCACACACCAACACCACTTCCCACCTCCACAACCATCACCCCCCCCACCAAACCAACATAACAAAACCAATCACCAAAATATACAACCACAACAAAACCATCCCATCACACCCTCTCACACCAACCCCCCCCCCCCCCCCCATATCCCCCCCCCCCCACCCCCCACCATATCCTAACACAACTATCCCATCCCTACCCAACTAAACACCACCCTCATCCAACCTATCCTCCCTCTCTCCTAACCCACTTCAAACCCCAACACCCCCCCATATAAAATACACTTCCTCCCTCCATCCCCCCCACCTTTCCCTTATCAACTTACCAAACCATACTACCCCAATCCCTACACCCCCATAATATTCCACCAATCTCAATTCCACCCCCACTCAAATCATCCCCTACACTTCTTTATTTTATCTCCTATCAAATAACTCCTCCCCATCCAACACACTCCCCCTACAATATCCCCACCAAATCAACCACCAAACCCCCTAACACTCTCCATTCCCACACCCTCCCCATCAATATCCTTCCCCTTCTTCCCCCTACCCCTATCCCCTCAACCCCCCCCCCCCCACCCTTACCCCAAAAAATCAAAAAAAACCACCCCAAACAACCTCCCCCCCACTCCCCCACACCACCCCCCCCCCCCCCCAACTCTTCCCCCCACCCACCCCCTACTTTTCCCTCTTCCCAACCACCCACCACACCCCAAACCCCCCCAACCCACCCCCAAACCCATTCTCCACTCCCACCAACCCCCCCCCCTCACCATTCCCACCCCCCCCACCACTTACTAACATACCACAAACCCAAACCAACCAACCATACCCCTCCAACACACACCAATCCAAAACTCTAACCCCCTATCCCTTCATTAAAACAACCCACACCCCAACACCCTATCACTATCACAAAATCACCACCCCCCCAACCCCCCCCCCCCCAAAACCTCCATTTCATAAAACCCAATCCCCATAACCCCCCCCACACCTCACACTAACCCTTAAACCCAAACCCAAACTCTTCCACCTCCCCACAATCCACCTCCCCCCCATAATCTAAACCCTCCCCATTATCCCACCATCAACTATTCCACACAAACCCATAACCCCATACCCTCAACCCCCCCCCCCCAATACCCCAAACCCAATACACAACCTCCCTCCTCCCCTCATTAACACCCAAATATCAACACCAAATCCCCTAACTAAAAACCAAACTTCTCACCTCCCAAAACACCCAAATCCAACTCCAAATACACCCCCTCCTTTCACAATATCCAATTCCACCTCACCACCCCTCTTCACATTTACCCTACCTCCATCCACCAAATACCCACCCCCACCAACCCACCCCCAACAACCCAAACTCTTACCCAAACCCACCTACAAATACACAATCTTTAATTTCCTATCACATCACCCCAATCCACACCACTCCATATTAAAAACACTTATACCTCCTCTCCCCCTTTTCCACTCAAACCCTCCAAAAAACCCTCAACATCCACCCCCCACCCAAACCCACACACACCCCCTATATCACACCCATCCCCCACCACTCCATTACTTCACCCCCACCTATAATACCCCCCCCTACAACACCCCCACTCCAAAACCCCCCCCCTACACTTAACACAATAACCCCCTAAATCCTCATCTTCTCTTAACATAAACCCACAACCCAACCCCTCCATCTCCCATTCACATTCAAAATCACTAAACCCATCCAAAACACACACACCCCACCCCTCCCCCTTCCATACCAACCACCCTAAAAATCCCCACCTAAATTCATATCACCCCACCTTCAAAATCACTCAACCCCATAAAACCCCCCAAATCAACCACCCATTCCCCCACCAATCAACCCCACCCACTCTCCCAATCAAACCCAAATACCACATAAAAACCCTATCTACAACACCCCCACTATCCAAACAACAACCACCCCCAATTCCCCACCAACTCCAATCCAAACCAACCATAAAATCTACATACATACCCATTCATTCCCTTCCCTCACCTAAATTCACATCCCACTAAACTCCCACTTAACAACCTCCCCATTAACCTAACAAAAACCCCCCTCCCCACCAACCAAACCACATCCCCCTACCCCCCCCCCCCTTCCCCAACCCAAACCCCCACCATCCCCCAAAAACTCCCACACCACCCACCTACAAACCCAACCAAAAACCCCCATTCCTCCTCCCACAACAATATAATCCATCAATACTATTCCTCCAACCAACAAACATAAACCCTAACCCCTATCTTCACTACCCACCATCCCAAATTAAACCTCTCCCCACATCCCCCATACCAAAAACCTTCCCCCTTCCTACCTATACTACATCCCCCATCCACCCTCACATCAAAAAAACCCCACTACCCCCCATCCAAACTTCCAAACCCAAAAACCAATCCTCTCACTTCCCCAATACTAATCACCCACCCCCCCCAAATTTTTTCCCCCTTTCCCCCCAATCTTCACCCCTCCCTCCACCACCAACTCCTTACCCCACCTTTAACCATCCCCCTACCCATACCACACAACACCACCCAATCCCCACTCCCCCCCCCAATTACCCCCCCCCACCCCCCTTCCCCTTAAACCCCTCCCTTCCATAACCCCTCTACACCCCCTCCAATACCTACCCTTCCCCTCCCCCCATACTATTTACCCCACCACACACACTACACCCCACACCCTACCCCTAAACATATAACTTCACTCAATCAACCCCCTTCCTCAATTCCAACCACACAACCCAATACCCCCTACCCCAACCTTCTTACCGCTCCCCCCCCCATTTCCTACAAAACACCACCAACCCACTATCTTATCAATTACCCCCCCCCACACCCCACCACTCTCCACAAATAAATTAAAATTCTACTTACACACCCCAATCACACTTATAAATCACCAACCCTTAACCACACAAACCCCCTCCCTTACCCCCACCACACACCACACAACCCCCCCCCATAAACACCCCCAATTTACCTTCCCCCACCCTTACCCCATATCAAACTCACACCATACTAACCACACAACACCCTCACAATACCCCCATCAATCACCCCACCCCCCCAAACCACAACATTACCCCCCCATCTTTCCAACCCCCCCATACCCCCCCACATCCTCCTCCCCCATCTCCACTACCCCTTCAAATCTACTCCCCACATTCAAACCACCATACCACCCATACCTCACCACATTCCTCCCCCAACATCAATCAAATACCAAAAAAACCATCCACATAAACCACCCCTAATCCCCCCACATCTCCAACAAAACCCCCACAACCACCCCACTTTCCTTTCCCTACACACCTCACCCAAAATCAAATACCCCCTCCACCCACCACCCCCCAACCTCAATCCACTAAACACACACCTACACCCCCACCTAACTAATCTATTCAACCCCCACTAAACAATCCAACCCTACTACTCAACAATAATTATACATACAAAAAACTATAACATATCACACAAATCACTACATCCACTCCCCTCAAACCCAACCCAAACCCCCCCCCTCACCCCCCAAACCATCCATCTCTCCACCCCCCAATATCCCCACCCCCCAACTAAACACCCAAAAAATACCCCCACTTCCACCAACATCCACAACCACCCAAACCCTATTATACCAACATTAATACCACCCCCCCACCTCTCCTCCCAACATCCTCTATATCCTAACCCATCACACCCCCACTACACCCCCCATACCAAACCCCCAAACCCACCAACCACATACTTCCATATAAACACATATATACCCCCCCCCCAACTCCCAAAATCCCAAACCCCCCCCCCCCCCCCCTCAAACAAAACCCCAACAAATACCTCCCCCACTCTAAACCCTCCCACCCCTCCCCTAACCCATCTCCAAATACCCTCTCCCCTCCCCCCCCTCAGCTCGCTCTGTATAATTCCTAAGTCATATGTCATACAATATCAGACATACTAGACACCCCGCTACGTGCATATCCATATGCCCTTTATATAGACTCCCAGTCTGTAGGCATGCTACACCGTGTCGATATCTGTATCATACCTACACTTTATGTCACCCTCTCCACTACTGTCATACATTACTTCATGTATATAGTGCTAATGTTTATATCATACACTTCATCATCCACCTTATCCCTTCTCCTATACTCTCTAAGTCTAGATCCCATCACACATCCGTGATGCCCTTGACCCTCATGTCTATCTATCAATGTCCAATCCATTTCCGTACTCTATTCACCACCTGCTATGTCTCCTTCCCATACCGTAGCACATCCACACTCCTAGTGTCACACGTACAGTGTATCTTTCCTCACAAAATGTTACCTCGTGTGATACATTTTTAGTGTCCTGACTAGACCATGCCACCCCCTAACCGCCTGTGTATTAACCTCATCTCATTGCCCTTACTATCCATGTAGCACTACCTCCACTTTGTGCGCAGCACCCGTACATATCGCCACACGCCCGAATCACAAACGTCAATATTTATACTATACTATCACTACCCAATACTCAATGCACCACATTTGACACACCTGTATGTCACCTCTAAGAAACCTCATCTACAGCACTCCCTTGCCTGTGCTGTCGCATGCCGACACAATTTATTTATGTCTTCTGATGTCTATACTACAGTCCATCCACTCATACTACCCCTTTGCGCACCCTTCTATAGTAACATCGCTCTCATCAAAGACCATCTCTACATGTTAATTATTTGTAGTCTCTCCTCAGACCCACTCCTGTGTCAATATTTCACTCATACATTTCGCTAACTGTAAACTACTCAGAGATCAACTCGGTAGAGTTAACTACCCTCACTTTCTCTCCACCACTCTACCGAACCGCCATGTTGCGTACAGTCTGTAACACCCATAAGATCTAACACCTGATGCCACCTCCTATCTGACTCATCAAAGTCACCATCTGAATCGCATCTCTAGAGACTCCTCATCTGTCGCTCGCCTCTCAATACCAACTAGATCCAGTGTGTGCTATCTCCCATCGTTAGTCTAGACTCTCACGTGCTCTCTCAAATAGACAGACAGACAACTGCGCCACTTCAGGAGATCACTCTCCATGATCAGCACATATAGATAACGTGAGATACTTGCTCGACACTGCAATGTTGAATGTTGCAACCTATTATGACACGCCCATATCGCAGTCACATGTGAGCTACTGCACCTCTCCTATCTATCGCATCAACTACGCACCTCTATCTCTCATCCCAACCCAAGTGAAATGATCACCATGCGATCTAAAACTGACCTAGTGACTGCTTGTAGCACTTCGAGATCTGAAATGTGCGCGACCACAGAACGTGCCTATTCCCTCATGTTCCCCTCTCCCAACGATAGATGTTTGCCTGATCGAGTGTGTCCCCACACCACCTTACTCAGTTGTCCTATAGCAATACAACCAGCCATCCCTGACAATCCTCAACTCCCAACATACTGTGTTACTGTACCCCGATAATCGTGAGTGGTAAGTGCTCACCTGCTACACTCTGAAACCACATTAGACCTGTTATAGTAACTCACTGAGAAGTATAACTGTTATGCATGCTCTATGCATTGATTATCAGCACTCTCTCATCTCGCCATGTGTAACAAGCAACAACTACTCTCATGATGTATATATACCATTTGTCACAACATCATGTATCTCTTAGCTCACATCTACTATCCTCCTGTACTTCGGTACAAAAACCTCCCATCCCCATCACTCTCCCACAGTACTTTCTCTAAAACCCTTATGTACCTGTCCTCGCATACACTCAACTGTCACCCGAAGTCTAGAACTCTCTACCCTAGAAACCGTCTCCAGGCTTTCTTTCGTGTGAGTGTCCACATGTCATACTACCCTTAATCCTGTCCACCACCCCATGACCCAATGTACTCTGAATTTCATCCACATATATAACCACTCTAACAGCTCTATGTCCTGATCGTTTCATACATACATACCCAAAGACATCTAAGATTGTGATCTTACCGTAGATAAGTAATCGCCTCATGTAATTGTACATCTATATCCCCATACACATATAGTGATATGCTAACTACATCCATCTACCATACCTCATAATATAACATCCAACTCTAGACACCATTTTCTAGATTGTCTCTTATGAGTGCTCACTATCTCACCAGCACTCTCTTGACACTCTGTCCCAGTCATACTGCGCTCTTACTATGTCCACTACATACCCTCTAAGACCTGCCTTCCTTTGTCGCCTACACTACTGTACTTAATGCCAGATGCAGCCAGTCTATCTCGTCCGTCCCCTATGTGAGTCCCCCTACAAAGTGATATCCTCACTGATACAAAGACCTACAATTATCTCAATGTCATGCTGCCATTCTACCATCACCCTACATATACACTCCCCTCTCCGTGTCTGGCACGCCACCACTCCCTCTCGAGTACTATTTCTCCACACTTCACTTGACGACAAGACAGTCTCGTCTTCATTGCCTAAATAGACTTCACACAGTTATACTCCTATATAAGTTCTCCAATCGATCTAATCTATGAGTCTTGAACTCACTTCTCATTATCCTATACCCATCCTGAACAGTATACCATATAATAATTTCAACCGTCATATAATGATACACATGTTATCCACTCACTAAAGTAGATATTTCTACGTGTGTAGTCACTATAAGTGCCCACATTCAACACACATTTCTCTCGCACACCATACCACCATTCCCCACAACCCCCTCATATACTCCCTATACCCCATATACTCGACTTGCCATCCACATGTTCCACGCGCCACCTGTTCCCCTGCTTTGCCTCACTCGCCAACATACATCCCCATGGATACTCTCGTATCTACAATCCACACCAGACAATCCTAGACTCCTTATAAAACACAGCTGTGCTCACCGTCGCTTCTTCAACTCCCTCTGCTAGATCGTTATTCGTTCAACACCTAGTACCTCTATAGATAGAGCTACTCCAAATACCTGTGCACCAACAATAACCCCTGTGTAGGAAGACTCATTGACCCATATACTCCATCCCTCAATCTGAGGCAACATCTAGATCACTAGCATCTAGATATAACCAATATCTGTCAACACACACCATCCGCACAGCTAACCCACCCAGAGCTCACACTGATATCTCCATACACTATCAACACTGTACATA